CTATCATACCGAGTACGCTTTCAGCGCGTCATGCCCACGTTCATCTTCGTGCTCGTCCGCTTTTGCCTACGGGTCGACAACGTGCTCTTCCGCGTGCATGATACGCGACTATATCACTCCTTCGCCTCGTCTCCTCCTCTTATCATCAAGGAGACGTCTGGTTGGGAGGCGCCATACAACTCTGTCAAGCGGGTACGCTGCGCGTCTATAAACTCGCTCGATGGCTACTCATGAACAACGCAGAAACTTCCCGACAAGCGCGACCTTACGCCGTTGACTGACACGGCCTTCATTGCGACCAGCCTCGCTGAGATAGAGGGCTCGCAGCAGCAGCCCGGGGTGACAAAATGGCGCGGCCTGGGTACACAAACCCAAGTCGCGACTATCCCATCTTGAGTTTCAGTACAGTATACGATGCGGTGAAGCTTGATATCTTGTACCCTTACACCGCGAATACTTTTGTACGATAGCAAACGAAAACCAAATTGCCATTACGCGTGGAAAGGGAAAGGAAGAGGAGCACGGTATCTCGACGATTCAATCAAAGGGATGCGATATCGATGCGGAAGACACAGTTCTTTTTTGTCGTTGGTTGTGCGGGGCGAGACGAGACGAGTGAGTATGTAGGTAGCAGCGGAAACGCAGAACTGAATGCGAGGGGGAAGGGGTCGTGAAAGCAAGCGGGAATCATTGGGAGGAAAAAGGGATACAGCAGAGACGCGGTGTGGGTGTGTGCTAGGTATGTATGTATGTATGTACGGACAACAACTTGACGGAGAGGCGGGACGCAGAATTGGTGTATCTAGGACAAAGCAGTAGCAGGAGCAGCGGAAAGTCGTGACGAGAGCGATGGGCGGTTCAGAAGTGATGGCTAAGAGTATACAAAGGCGCGGAAAGGCAAACCCGGGTTGAACGAGAGAGGGCATCATGAAGGAAGTAAGGGAGCGCAGAAGGAAACCGAGACGATGCACGAAGAGAGAGAAGTCCAGGGGAAAGCAAGACGAAGTGAGGGACTAGTAGTAGACCTGCATATGCTCGGGCGGCGGGGCGCCGTACATATCGTAGGGCGCGGCGTAGTGCATTGGTTGCTGTTGAGGAGGACCGTATGCGTACGACTCGGTCGGCGGCGGAGGGTAATAATAGTACGCTTGCGGCTGTGGCACCGGTGCGGCGTATTCCTGCTGCTGCTGCTGGCCGTTCCCGTTGTCCATTCCAGGCGCCTGCTGCGCGACGTCTGGTGTGCTCGACGTACGCAAAGTAGACGGCTTGCGCGGCTTGCTACCATCGTTGGCCTCGGTAGGTGCGCGGATCTCAATACGCCCGCTCGACCGTGCTGGCGTAAAGAATGGACGGCCTGTCTCTGGGTCCACAGGCGCGAACTGCTGGGGCGGTGGGGGAGGCGGCGCGGCGTATTCGTAGTACTCCATCGGAGGCGGTGGCGGAATGTACTGTACGCTGCCATGTCGCATGTGCTGAGGCGGCGGAGGCGGGGTGTACATCGAGATAGAGGGATGCGGCGTATGAGTATAGTACATGGGCCGGCCGTCGTATCCCATCGGCATGCCATTCGGTGGGTATGGCAGGGGTGCAGCGTAACCATACGGCGACGGATATCCAGCGGGAGAAGGGGTCGACTGGTGATAGGCGGGCGCAAACGACGTCGCGACAGGCGGCGGGACAGGCTGACCCATCGGCATACCCTGCATCTCCACCGGATATGGCGGCGGCGGAGGCGGCGAGGTCATACCTATAGGCGGCGTGGTCTGCGCCTGCATCTGGTGCAGAGGCACCTCTGCAGGGGCGGGCGGCGGGGGTGCCTGCCAAATCCAGTTACCCTCCGATGGCTGCGCCTGGTGTCTGCCAGATGGACGATAGGGAGCCACATTCGCACGAAGTTGCGATGTAGACGGCTTGGCATCAGGGACCATGGCGGGGGCAGGAGCAGGAGCAGGAGCAGGGTCAGGTTTGAGCTTCACCACAATAGACTGTCCAACAGGTGCACGCGGCGAAGGTGCGGCAGCGAGCTTGTTCGGGCGTGCGGTCACAGGGAGTCTGATCAACGCCGCCATACCATCGCCTGGTAGCTTGACTCTGACGCCAGGTCCCTGGCTGGGAGGACGTGGGCGAAGAGACCAGTCCTGGAAGAGGAACATGTCGAACTGCTTCGTCCAGGGCCGTTCTGGCTTCATGATGTACCACACACGCCGCTCGGAAGCCGGAACAGAAACCTGGCTTTGAGACAGAGCTGGTCCAGAGCTCGCTGACTGAGCAGTGGGAGAGTTCAGGTAGCGAGCGGGAGGCTGCACGAAACCGCCGCGCAAGAAGCCGCCGCGTCCGCGACCGCGTGGAACGAACCCACCACGTCCGCGGCCGCGCACGAAATTATTCGTGTGGTCTTCGTGACGAGAGAGCTCCTCGTACCCATCATGCTTCCAGGTTGAGCGCTCAGCGGGAGGCAGCTCTTCCTCGTCGATGCGGTTCGCCTGAGGAGCAGCAAACCCACCTCTACCTCTTCCGCGCCCCACAAAGCCGGCTCCGCGCTGCGCACGACTATTATTCCAGTTGTTCATCCTGCGCAGCGACTTGTCCATGAGCCGATCATCGTGCGTCCAGAACGTGCCGACGACGGGGACAAAGGACGGATCTGGAGTTGTGGCGTCAGCAGCTTCTTCAAACGGACCAAGCGAAATATCTGAACCTGTACGAAGAGACTGCAGATACGCTTGCCGCGACTCACGGTCCTCCGCTCTACGCTCCTGGTATGACCCACGGCCGTACGTCGGCTTGGGAGATGAGTCAGAGGGCGAAAGAGGTGCGCGACCCGCATTGAAGTCCTCAAAGTCAACAACGACAGCGTCTGCGCTCCAGTCTGCTGTCGTCGCACCCCAGTCACCCACAGGCGCATCCCAGCTAGTGCCTGCTGCAGCTGACGAATCCTGCTGCTCTGCGGGAGCGGACCAGTCATTAGCAGGTGTCTGACCGGGCCAATCGTCTTTCGACGAGCTAGCCTTGCCCGCGGCGCTGTGCTTGGACCTTGCGTTGGAGCCCGAGGTCGCAAACTGTGCAGAGGGCCGTCTGTGGGGGCTCTCTGGGGTGGGCGGCGCGAGCGGGTGCGGCGAGACACGACCGGTACGTGCGAGAGGCCCGTCCGCGTCCGAGTCAGAGTCGGAGTCGTGCTGGGCGTCGGCAGAATCGTCGCTGAGGGCCTCGCGCTCGACTTCGTCGTCGCTGTCGTCGATGCGGCCGCGACCGCGACGCTTTACGACCCGGGTCTTGCGCGTCGCTGGGGGTGCGGCGGAAGACTGGGCGCCATTGGTCGCTGGCCTGGTCTGCTTGGGTGCCGTCTGGGCTGGGTTGCGCATTGAGTGAGTAGAGTAATGTTACTGGAAGGGTCGAGTCGAGAGTGTGCAAAAGGGAGCGAGGATTCGGTTCGTGAGGTAAAAAAAGGCAGCGGGGATTCCGGAGCCGACGGTATTTCTTTTTGACTCAAACCACCACCATGCTGGCTCAACCGTTCCCTCTCGCCGCCCCGCCGCCGCCTCCGAAACCGTCTTATGGCCCAGATCTCGCCGTCAGGCTCATCTGCCCAGACTGCAGAGATCCGGTGCCAAAAATTGTCGAGGAATTCGGCTCGGGCGACCTGGTATGCGGAAGCTGTGGACTCGTCCTCGGCGACCGTATAGTAGACACGAGGAGCGAATGTACGTGCGCCCACCTCTCGTATGATACCCTTACTGACGACGCGCAGGGCGTGTAAGTGAATTTCTGTAGGCTTGTTATTGTAGTGGCTGCACAACGCAACCATTGTTCTTTCTAGACGTTTGCCAACGACGAAGGCGACGACCCTTCGCGTGTCGGTGCTGCTTCTGATCCTTTAATGGACGGCATGGAGCAGCTTGACACGTTAATTGGTTTTCGCGACGGCAACACCGGCGTCGCGAAGGAGCTGCAACGGGCCGCGTCCCGCTCGCAAGGCGGTGGCCGGAACGAGCGCAACATCCTGACTGCTTTCCGCGAAATCTCTAATATGTGCGACTCGTTCTCCCTGCCGAAGACGATCAGCGACATTGCCAAGCAGCTGTACAAGCGCGCTGACGAGGAGAAGCTCCTTCGCTCCAAGTCGCTCGACGCAGTCATCGCCGCGTGCATTTTCATCGCCTGTCGCCAGGCGCACGTACCCCGCACGTTCCGCGAGATCTGCGAGTTGACGCGTGTGCCCAAGAAGATTATCGGGCAGTGCTACAAGACGCTTGAGCAGGCGTTCAACCTCACGCCCGGCGTCGGTTCCGGTGGCCCCATCAACGACAAGGGTATCGTCGCTGGTACTGGCCCAGAGGAGCTGCTCGTTCGTTACTGTAACCACCTCGCGCTGCCGCCCACTGTGCAGAGCTACGCGTCCGACATCATCATCGAGGCGCGGAAGCAGGGCATCGCCGCCGGCCGTAGTCCCGTGTCAATCGCTGGCGCGGCTATCTTCTTCACCTGCCACCTCCTTGATCATACGAAGAACATCAAGGAGATTGGTGGTGTAGCAGGTGTCAGCGACAGCACGCTCAAGCTTGTTTACAAGCTGTTCTACGCGGACCGCGAAAAGCTCGTGAAGCAGGAGTGGATCGACTCGGGCAAGGCGTCGCTGGATCGTCTTCCGTCGACCGAGAAGTAGATGATGGACTTAACGTTGAGAACTCGTGCGAACCCGCATTATGGTGTATTATTCTTCCCTCTCTTGACCCCTTTGGGCTACCTCATGCAACCACCATTACATAGTGTACATCCACTCGCATGCATGTTATTTCCTTGTGCTATCTGCAACACGCAACCGCATTTTGATAGAAATGATTGAATCCCTGCAGGCCTGCCTCACATACTCATGGGGATGCCAGCATGGTTACTGTGGACGTCGACGATAAATTCCATGACTTGCGAATTCACGACTTCGGACCGGCAGGCACTGAGTAAAAACGCCCGCACGTCATCGCTCATGGAAAGAACGAGAAAAATGGACACTGAGAGGATTGAACTCTCGACCTCATGCAATGCTCGAAATGCGAAGCAAGCGCGCTACCACTGTGCCAAGTGCCCATGACTTGGGAATCATTCTATAGACTTATATTGTATCCGCCATTTTAACCTGCTTTGGCTGTAAGTGTGACACTGACATACCAGATGTCCTGCATGTCATGCACCGGCGCTTCCAGCAGCTAAACGAAACTTCCTACAGTGACATGGCGAGCAATCCCCGACGTGGACATCCGGTAATCACAAGCTTACAGATGACTGCCTGAGACGACGTCAAAACGAGCCGCGGGCGCAAGAGACGCGCGATATGTGTGTGTGCGCGTGGGAGCTAATGGGCTCTAGGGGGAAACATTTCTCAGACGTGGCTGAGGTGAGGGTGCAAACGGGGACAATCTCGCTTACGTAGATGCCGCTCCGAGCTGGGCTCCGGTGCTCATAAACCGGCAAGCTTCCGAGGCTCTGCCCTCCACTTTCACGCTCGCTCTCTCCGCCATGCCCTCCGTCGTCGCGCCCCAGAGACACCAGCACGCCTACGGCTGCAGCTGTCCCCAGCACCACGAGCAGCCCACGGACGCCGATCTCATGCTGCTCGATGCTCTGTCCGCGCCGACGCTCAAGTTCGACCCGAACAGATACAAGCGCCGCGACGCGCCCCTCGACCCGCTGCTGTTTGCGGCGGCGGCGCTGTCTGGTCCCCAGGTCACGCGACACCATTACCACCACGGGTTTACAGCTGAGGACGCCGAGTCCTGGCTCGAGTCGTCCAATGCGAAACAGCCGCCCGCAGCGGACGCCGGTGCCAAACCTCGCTACATGAGCAAACAGGCTCCTCGCCGCGAGCGCCTGGGTGCTCCGTCGGCGCGCGACGTCAACAAGGAGAACGACAACGACGCTCAGGTCGCTTCGCCCGCGGCACTCCGCTCTCCTTCTGCGGCCGCGCCACCCGCTCCGGCAAAGCGACGCAACACCATATTGGCGGCCGCGCACTCTCCATCGTCATCGCAGCAGCAGCATCAAAAGTCTCCGTACCTGCTGTCTCCGGAGAAGCCGCTTGCGCCAACGTCCATTGCCGGTGTGGAGGTCCAATGCCTTGTGCGCACCCGTATTCCTACTGCGCACGGCGAGGTTCTGCTCCATCTCTATCGCAATAACCGCGACAATAAGGAGCACATGGCCATCGTCGTGGACCAGGCGCAACTGCGGCCATTGGACGAGCAGGACGAATCACCATTGCGTGCTCCTCCCATTCGGAGCAGGTCGCTCGACACGCGGTGGAGCGACTCCGAAACAGACATGGATCGCATCGTCCGCGGCGCGTACGTTGGACGTCTCTCGCAGTCCGCGGTCTCGTCATCCGCGACGCTTGATTCCCGGCAGGAGCATTTATCCGTCCCAGTCACGGGTGGCCTCAACGTCCAGCTTCCGCCGCCTCTCATCCGCATTCACTCGGAGTGTTTCACGGGTGAGACGGTGGGCAGTATGCGCTGCGACTGCGGCGAGCAGCTGGACGAAGCGGTCAGGCGCATCGCCCAGCCTGTCATGGTCCAGACGCCCGCCGGTCCAGTCGCAATGCCGGGGCGCGGCGTCGTGCTCTACCTGCGGCAGGAGGGCCGTGGTATCGGTTTGCTCAGCAAATTGCGCGCATACAATCTCCAGGACCTTGGCCACGACACAGTAGCGGCAAACCTCATGCTCGGCCATGGCGCAGACGAACGTCGCTACGAGGTTGCAGCTGCGATTCTTCGCGATCTCGATCTTGCAGAGGGCGTCCGTCTTCTGACAAACAACCCTGACAAGATTGCAGCGCTTGCCTCCGAGGGCATTCGCGTCGCTGAGCGCGTCGAGATGGTCCCGAAGGCCTGGCGGTGCGCGCAGGATGACCAGCCCAACACTTATGCGGACGGACCGCGTCTCGGAGCCCATACTCCCCGCGGCGAAGACCTGGAGCGGTATTTGAAGACCAAAATTACGCGCATGGGGCATCTACTTGATTTACCGTCTTCTGCCTCTTCCGCAATGCACTAGACTTCCTCTTTCTGTTACTGTGGATCTAATGTTATCTATTCTATTTGTTTCGAGGATCTGCGTGCAATACAGAGGTGTTGTTGTATCGGGAGTTTTGCACCGGGCGGCGCGCGCGTCTTGAGGCTGAGTTGCACGCGTCCTCTCCTTGCCGGTGAACTTCGATGTTCACCGCGTTCGCCCGCTACCGCCGTCCGCTTGCTGCGCTGGGCATACTAGGGCCTACAGCGTACCTATCGTACAAGTACTACAACACGCCCGTGCCCGCGTCTACGTTCCAAATCTCGATACGACAGCGCACGGCGGACGGCAAAGTGGAACGCGTACCAATGTCCCTACCTTTATTGCCGCACCACGAAGTCGAGCGGCGTCTAAAGCAGCACGAGATTCTCGCGCGTCTGCCGCATGGGTGGCGCTACACGACGAGCCAGGTCAACTCCAATGACCCGATCGAGGATGCGCACGCGTCCGCGGTCGTGTCGCCCGGCGAGCTGGGCAGCAGCGCTGGCGAAATGCTCATGTTCGCCGTCATGGACGGTCACGGTGGCTTCTGGACCTCGAAACTTCTCTCAAAGACGCTGCTCCCCGGTGTCGCACTCGAGCTGCAGACGCTGAACGAAGTATCGCCCGAGAATTCGAAGGGATCCGGTATCGTCCCCGGCCTCCTTGCATACGTCAAATCCGCCTTCTCCCCACACGGATCGTCGTCGTCCACTCCACCTCCTGTGCACAAGCCTAAGGTCTTCGCCTCGGACCCGACATATGTGCAGATCGCGATGAAGACTGCATTTGCGAACCTGGACTCGGAGATCGTGAACGCGCCTTACCGCATGCTTGCTCCCATCCTCTCCCAACTTGGAAATAGCCCCTTAGACTTAGAGAAGTATCCTATGCTCCTACCCAGCCTGCTCCCTGCACTGTCTGGATCATGCGCCCTCGTTGCACTCGTCGATACTACACACAACAACTTGTATGTTGCATGCACGGGCGACAGCCGCGCGGTCGCTGGTGTCGTTGATGCGGACGGTCGTTGGAAGGTCGATGTCCTCACGGAAGACCAGACAGGACGGAATCCAACGGAGTTGAAAAGGTGAAGAGTAATACTTTACAGCTAGAATGGCGAATGCTCATATACTCGCCAGGCTGCAGTCTGAACACCCTGCCGATGAAGTAGACCATGTCGTCCAACGCGGCCGTATCCTTGGCGGGCTCGAACCATCTCGTGCGTTTGGTGATAGTCGGTACAAATGGCCGCGAGCGTTCCAAGAAAGGTACGTTCTCGGTCCTGTCCCTTCTCCGAGGCTAACTCCCGCGCGAAAAGACTTGCGCAAGCGTTGAGTGGCACCGACCAGGTCCTCCGCAAACCTCCAGCGGCGCTGAGAACGCCGCCCTACGTGACTTCCGAGCCCGTACTTACGCACCGCCATTTCAACACGTCTCCTCCCGCAGGCGGCCCTGCACTGCGCTTCGTTGTTCTCGCCACAGACGGCCTATGGGACGAACTCTCCTCATCTGAAGTCGTAGCCCTCGTCGGCGCGCATCTGCGCGGCACGCGGGGCCCAGTGCCCAAAGCCGAGCTCGCGGGTTCCCTCGCCGAAGGCGGCAACCTCGGACTCGACGGCAAGCAGATCCAGCGCAAACCGTACACTGCTGGCGAGAGCTGGACGTTCGAGGACGAAAACCTCTCCACGCACTTGATTCGGAATGCGCTCGGAGGGGGAAACGCCATGGAGCTGCGTAAGAGCATGTCCATACCCGCACCGCACTCGCGACGGTTCCGCGACGACATCACGGTCACTGTTGTCTGGTGGGAGGACCACGACACACTAGTTGGAGCTGCGGAGAGCGGGAGTGCCCAGCCGCCTATCAGGGCGAGACTGTAGGTTGAATGTGGACAACATAGCTGCATTGGCGGCTCGTCCCACAGCAGAACGGGTTGAAGGTACTGTACTCACTGCATGTACGCGGAAAAGCACGTCTACAGGAAACGGCGCTGCATTCTTGGATACAAAATGTACAAGTAATATCTAATGGTCGACAATGCACAAAACTCGCAAACTCTTCTGACACATACTGAGACGGTGCGAGCGAAAAGAAGCGGTGAAAACGGAACATGGGACGAGATAAAAAGTAAGGACACAAGGCTAAAACTACAATCCTGGTTTTCTGCGTTGCATATGCGAAGTCGGCTCGATGTCGAGCAGCCCGTGGCCTTTATTGCGCTTCTTGTGAAGATCGTGAGCGCCCTTGTTGCGGTGGATCACGGAGTACGGATTCGCGAGTTGGCTACGTCTGCGAGCCGAGCCACCACCTGGCGGGGAGCTCGACTTGTGCTTCTTCGCGGGCGACGACGAGGCGATCTCGTCATCGTCCCGTATCCGCTTGCTCTTGGACGAAGAGCCGTAGAAATTGCGGGGCGGGACGGATGCGATCTGCGCTCTGGGCGTTGGGTGGACCGGCGACGCGGCATCTTCCTCCTCGTCATCGTCAAGGTCGACCATTTTCTCCGGAGAGGACGCCGCAGGAGGGGACGAAGGCGGCAGCGACGCTGGTTCTCCCTGCGTCTGTGTGCCGACTGCGGGCGACGATGGCTCGGCGTCGCCTTGGGGCTCGACCTTCTCGCCGATGTCGTCGTCCTCATCGTCGCTGCCGTAGTCGGCCAAGCCGGGTAGCGGTGCGAGGGACGGCTTGGCTTCCGGCGCTGGCTTGGACGGCCCAGCTACGGGACTAGCATTGTTCACAGGCCCGATCACGCGCTGCTTCTTCGCTTGGACGAGCTTGAACGCTTCGAGCGCCTGACTGCGGTTGGCGTCCATAGGCTCTGCCGGCGTCGACGGCCGACTCGCGCCAGCATCCATAGACTTGCGCTTGACCGACGTGCGTTCGCCGCCCTTGCCCTTCTCACCCGCGATGATGTCGCTGAGGGCGCTCGCCTCGTCGCGTAGGTAGAAGAGCATGTACGCCTGCTTGATATCGAGCGGTGGACGGTGCACGCGGCTCACGCTCTCGTCGTTCATCTCGTACCACGAGCCGTTCGGGCC